GGAACGGGCCTAAGCTGTCAGTCAAACATTCCCCGAGGGCTCCCGGACTGCGAGAGGGCGCAGGCTGGGCTGAGGGACCTCCTCCCCCTGAGTGCATGAATTTTGTGCACCAGGCCTCTTATATATATATATACACACACACACACACACACACACACACACACACACATAATTGATTTCAGAGAGAAAGGGAGAGGAAGAGAGAGATAGAAGCATCAATGATGAGAGAGAATCATTGATCAGCTGCCTCCAGCACGCCCCCCACTGATGATCGAGCCCACAACCTGGGCATGTGCCCTGACAGGGATTCGAACCCGTGACCTCTGGTTCATAGGTTGACCTTCCACCACTGAGCCACATTGGCCAGGCAAAATGAATACTTTAGTACCAGCTGAAGTTCTGACCACAAATCTCAGTGTAGAAGTATCTTGAGAACTGGACCAGGCCTCATGTAGTTTTTGTATCTATGGTCTAAGACAGAAGTAGCCCAAATGGCCTCTTTAGCCTGTTTTTTCTACTTCTACAACCATATCTTTGTCCTACAAAGCTTGTCAGCTACACAGGAAAGGAAAGATGAAAAACTTACTGAGGTTAAAACAGCATCTCTGTCTAAATCTGAGAGTAGCTTTAGTGAACCACCCATTTTGGGCCTCCTTTCCTCTGGGTATTGTCCTGGCTCCCACTGGTTTTCTTTTTTATTTTTTAAATTTTTATTGATTTCAAAGGAAGAGGGAGACGGAGACAGAAACATCAGTGATGAGAGAGAATCGTTGATTGGCTGCCTCCTGCACATCCCCTCTTGGGATCAAGCCCACAAACCAGACATGTGCCCTGCCTGGGAATTGAACCATAACCTTCTGGTTCATAGGTCCATGCTCAAGCACTGACCCACACTGGCCGGGCACCACTGGTTTTCTGAGGAGAGAGGGAAACCTTCCTTCTAGGCTTGAATGGGCTTTGGGTCCCTTCTTACTCTATCAGCTTTTGGCAAAGAGAAAACTTGAAGAAATCGAACCTGAAGAGAGGAATCCATTAGGAGGAGGTGTCAAATAAGCACATCTTCTTTGAATATTTTACTGCAGTGATTTTCAATCTTTTTCATCTCATGGCACATGTAAACCAATTACGAAAATTCTGTGGCACACCAAAAAATATCTTTTTTGCTGATCTGACCAAAAAAAATTAGTATAATTTTGATTCTTTCACACCGGGTGACCATTGTTGTGTTGGCTGCTGTCATTTTTTTATTTGAGAGTCGGAAAAGAGGTCAGTGCCCCTGACTAAATAGATATTGCATCTTTTAAAAATTCTTGTGGCACACCAGTTGAAAATCACTGTCTTAGTGTATCATGATGAGGCACCCAAGAATGCCCCTGATGAACCTTGAGAGGAAAACAGGAATGGAAAGGGCAGTGAGACGACCTTTAGTACTGTTGAATGATTGGGGAGTGAGTGAATGTGTGAATACCCTTTCTGGATTGGCATCTTGATAAAAATTTGCTCCAAGGAAGTCTAACAATTTTAGAGAGAATGATAATGTGAAGGTTCTTTTTAGTTCAAGGTCTAAAATTTATCTTTATTTATGGCAGTGGGCTTATTTAGGAAAGTTGTGAAGGCTTATTTAGGCTCGAGAAAAGTCAGGATTCTACAAATGATCACTGTTGATTGTTTTATACCATTTGAACATGCTTGTTTTACCAGAATCACAGAATTGTGGGATTGGAGGTTCTTAAAAGATACCTAGTCCCATCACTAGGAAGTGATTCTATGGATATACAAACACTTGTGTATAGGGATAAATGTGCAAGGCTGTTCATCTCAGCATTGTTGGTAGCAACAATGACAATTTTAAAAAGCCATGAAACAACCAAAATGTTGATCTGCAGTAGTTAAGGAATTATAGTACATTATATATGTGTAGGATGTATCATTAGGTAAATAAAGCAAGCTGCAGAACACTTGCTTTATATATATTCTATATAATAAATCCTATATAATAAAAGCCTAATACGCAAATTGACCGAATGGCGGAACGACAGGTGGCTATGATGTGCACTGACCACCATAGGGCAGATGCTCAACGCAGAAGCTGCCCCCAGCCCGCAGGCCCCAGGCCAGCCAAGGTAGGTGCCAGCAGCCCCTCTCCCCCTGATTGCCCCGCCAGTTGCCCCACAGATCGGCCCTGATCACTGGCCAGGCCTAGGGACCCTACCCATGACACTAGAGGCTCAGTGCACGAAATCATGCATGGGTGGGGTCCCTCTGGGTGGCCTGCAGGGATTGGGCCAAAACCCGCAGTCCAATGCCGCCTGCAGCTCCTACCTGCCACTCCCACTCATCCTGGCCCCATTGTGCCTGCTGAGGGCTTGCGCCCAATCAGTCCCAATTGATCGGGAGAGGCTCACACTGCTGCAGTAGCACTCGCAGGCCATGAGCCTTGCATCTGGTGCCCTCCCAAGGGGAGTGGCCTGTGGGATCAGGCTGAAACCAGCTCTCCCACATCCCCTGAGGGGTCCCAGATTGCGAGAGCGTGCAGGCCAGGCTGAGGGACCTCACTGGTGCATAATTGGGATGGGGAGGGACCACAGGAGGGCTCCAGGATGTGTCCCGCCCATCCTGCTCAGTCCCAATTGGCCAGACCCAGCAGCAAGCTAACCTATTGGTTGGAGCATCTGCTCCCTGGTGGTCAGTGTATGTCATAAAGAGCAGTTGAGCAGCCTTAGATATCATTAGCATATTACGCTGTGATTGGTTGTTCGGCTGTTCTGCCGTTCAGTCTATTTGCATATTACCCTTTTATTATATAGGATAGGATGGTATGATCTTATTTGTGAGAAAGTAACAAATATTTTAAATATTCTTATAAATGCTTACCAAAGTTCTGAAAGAGCACCCAAGAGACTGGGGTTTACTAAGTTCCCACTTTTAATCTGTTGAGCTGTTTGAATGTCTTACAATAAGCATGTGTTCTTTTTAAAAAAATATATTTTTATTGATTTCAGAGAGGAAGGAAGAGGGAGAGAGAGATAGAAACATCAATGATGAAAGAATCATTGATCGGCTGCCTGCTGCACACCCCCTACTGAGGATCAAGCCCGTATCCCGGGCATGTGCTCTTGACCGGAATAAAACCAAGGACCCTTCAGTTTGCAGGCTCTATCCACTGAGCCAAACCACTAGAGCAAGCATGTGTTCCTTATCACTTAAAAAAAAGTCACCTCATCTTATACCCTGACTGCTGAAGCATCCTTACCAAGTGGTCATCCTGGCTTTCTTAGAACATTTCCAGTGGTGGGGAAATCCTTACCTCTTATCTACCAAACAGTGTTTTTACCAGTACCCTTCCAGATGATAATTCCTTCCTATTATGATATGATCTAGGATTCCGGGGGCTGGTTCTATCAATCTTGTCTTGAGGGGCCTGGAGCTGGATGGTGCACAAGCTCCCGACAGAGAGTTCTTGGTATTTTGTCGGTTAAAAAAATTATTTTTGAATATATGATCAGAAACTAATGTCTTTTGGTGATCTCACTCATGTGGAATATAATTAACAAAATAAACTGATGAACGGAGTGGATCACGAGACATGGAAGCATGGAACACAGTGCGGAATCTCAGAGGGAAGGCGGGGAGGGCCGGTGGGTGGGAGGTAATCAATCAAAGACCTTGTATGCATATATGCATAACCTATGGATGCAGATAATAGAATGGTGAAGGCCTGAGGGGAGGGGGCAGGGAGGCTAGAGGTGACTAGTGCGGGGGGGTGGGTGGA